TCCAAACCCAGCACCTTTGGTGTTTAGGTTAAATATAAACTTCTGATGGCTACTCACAAAAGTCTAAATAGCCCAGACTACCTTTTGTATATGATCTTCACTTACTAAAGTCAATCCCTTCTGCTGCTATCATTTGCTGTCTCCAAGTCTGGCAATGACTTGGAGTCACTTCTTCTCATGAGTAATTTTAAGTTTTTAAACTTTTTGGGGGCTCATGACAATGTAGAGCTTATACAAATTTAAATACATCAAACTTCATATACTGAGGTGACTAACTCAGGCACCTTCAGAAGGCTGTTCAGGTCTGCCATTTGCAGAGTAAATTAGTTTGGTATACAGGTAGAGAATAGCCTGAAGCAGGTGTCAGCGGCCAGAGCAAGGCCAAGATATAGCATTTTGTGAAAGAAGAGGCATATGAGGTGTTGTGGTTAAGGCAATATGTTTTGGGCTAGTTATTATCTAATAGAAGAGAATATTTGTAGTTCAGGGTTGAACTGTGGAATCCTAGGAGTTCTTTGAGCTTGGCTGTTTTCTTGCAAATAAATACTGGCTAGGTAATATCTTCAGTGCTAGAAGGGAGTGGGGTTTGCTCTCTATTTATATACAGTAGTTTTCCCTGTCAGTGTTGAAGGGAGTATGGTTTTCTCCTTGGTAGTTCCTTAATTAGGCTGCTGTTTACTGCCTGATTGTCAGTCTGAGCTGGTAGTTCCTTGATTAGGGTATTGTTTACTACTTGATTGTTTCTCTGAGGTTAATCCTGGTGTTAATCTATGCTTATCTGGGTGTTGATTGCTGGCGAAGAGATGTTCTGGTCTTTTCGTTTCCTTTTTATTGTCTCTTTGAATAGTATGTAGATGCAAATCCAAAAACAGGAGGGAATTCCTGGAAATGTGGTATTCAGAGAAGTCAGCCATCAACAGGCACATAGAGATAGATAAACATGAGGGAATTCCTAGAAGCTTCGTATTCAGACAAGTCAGCCAGCAACAGGCTCATAGAGATAAACAACATCTACACACTATTCTTATTCAAATTTCTTAACAAAAAGGAGATATATAAAAGAGGACCAAAAATTCCAAGGAGGGCAAGATATTTATGTATGGGACTAGTTTTGACCAAATCTGGGCTGACTTTGTAAACTAGGGCTAAGACGTAATCTCAAACCACCATCATCCAGGAGCAGGGAAGGAGAGGAAACGCTAACCACAGCTCCAAACTTTGAGCTGTGAGATTTGTGTTGTTTGTGCAAAGCGTTCCTAGCCAGGTTTGTACGGAACTGTACAAAAAAAAAAAGACAAAATAGGGCTCGCAACTGCAGAAATCTCATTTTTTTAACTGCAGTTCTTGGGGAGGGGATGCAACCTCCCCATTTTGCTTTTGCTATCCTGACTCTTAAGCAAAAACCTCATTGTGAGCAGGGCTTCCCCCACGGGTGCCAAACTCTCCCTGCTGTGTGGCTTGCGATGGGAACTGCTGCCCCGCACATCTGGAGCATGCCCATTTGGGGCCAGCTGAACTCTAAGGGGAACTGCAAGAGTCATCCTGGCTCCGGAGGGCCACAGACCAGTAAGGAATAAATCAGGGAAGAAAAGCAAGCAAGCAAAATAAAAATTGCAGCAAACAATCGACAATCCAGTCCTAACACCTTGATCAGCATCGCCACAGACATGGTGCTGCAGGGAGGGCCCAGCATCTGGGATTCATCTGATGGCCACATCTGCACCACATACCCTCCAGAAAGTAGGCAGAGCAGGGGGTCCGTGGCCGGCTTGAAGGCCCTGGGGCCGCTTTTTTGCCGAAACCAGGAGTAGCTGTGTCCAAATGCATCCTGGATCAGACCCCAGGGCAGTCAGGGAGGGGGGCCAAAGTGGGGGCGGGGGGGAAGAGAGAAACACAAATCACTGCAGGCTCACCAAACCTGCCCTCGAATTAGTAAGCCTTTGGTCGCCAAATACTCCATATCAGGGACTGGTAATAAAAGGAGGAAGGGATGCACTGCAGGAGCATCAAAGGAGGGGCGGGGGAGAAAGCTAACAAAAATCCAACTTCTCCTGAAACACCTATCATTTTCTACATCTTAAAAAAAATATATACTGTGGGTGTTGCAGCCGTACAAAATAGCGGGTGGCAGGGAGGCAGAAGGGGGATTCATCACAGTCTCACACAGGGGGACGGTGAGGCCAGGAAAGTCACAGTCCGCAAAAAACGGATTGGCCTGCCGAGGAGCCGAGGAGGAAGAGGAGCAGGAGGAAGATGTCGTTGTCTTCATCCTCTTCTTCATAGGGCTCTTCCTCAAATTCCCATTTCTGCTGCTCACCCCACTGGACCTCAGTTTCTATTTCGTCATCCTCATCATCGTCTCCATCATCCTCATCATCTTCATCCTCATCATCGCTCCCATTCTCCTCCTCTTCGTCATCCAAGTCATCTTCGTCTTCATCATCTACAGCGTCGTCATCTAATTCTTCGCCTTCCTCATCATCCTCTTCCTCATCTTCGTCCCCATTCTCATCTCACTCATCGTCCAGCCCGTCGGCTTCCAGATCGGGGGCCTCTTTGTCGTTGGTGTTGAAGCCATCGAGATAGATCAGCTGGGGAAGGAGGGCAAAGATGGTCTCCCGGTAGTTGATCAGCATCGTCACCTCACAGTTGAACAGGTCAAGGTTCCTCAGGTGCGGCAGCTTCTTCAGAGGTTCCAACGTGTTGATCTCTTTGATTTTATTCCCACTGAGGTTCAAGTGCATCAAATTAGGCGTTTTCTCTGCAAGGACTTCCGGGCCACCAGAAATATGATTGTCGCTCAGCTCCAGCTTCTGGAGTTTGTTAAGCTTGGGGAGGTTGGAGACGGGCAGAAGGTTGACATTGATCATGCTGAGGAATTCCAGGTTTTCAAAGAGCCTGCTGATCTTGCCATCATCCAAATGGCAGTTGTCCAGCACCAGCTTCTTCACCTCGCTGGGCTTCTTGTTGTGCAGCTCCAGTGTCAGCTGCTTCTTCATCTCCATGGTGCAGTGCCGCTCTCCAACCGGGCCCCGGGAGCCTGCGCCGCCGCCGCCGCCGCCACCAGCGAACAAGCCACGGCCCTGCTCGGAAGCGAAGTCCTACACACTATTCAAAAGAGACAATAAAAAGGAAACTCAGACAGATAATCAAGCAGTAAACAATACCCTAATCAAGGAACTACCAAGAAAAAAAACCCACCCCCACCAACACTGGCAGGGCATGCTACCATATATAAACAGAGAACAAACCCCACTCCCTTCTAGCACTGAAGATGCTACCCAGCTGGCTAATGAAACATTTGCAAGAAAACAACCAAGCTCAGAGAACCCCAAGGACTCCATACTTATCTTCCAGTCCAATCTTCTTCATAGGCTTATTGTAGGGGAAATTTGAAGAAGGGACTTCCTTGAAAAAAAGGCTAAATCTAACTCAAAATAATAAAAATAATGCTACATAGCCATATGAATATATTGACTATGAGCTCAATATGTTCATACCTGTATATATACGAGTATAAACTACTAGTGAGTACAAAATATTGATGGGCCAAATATGGCATAGTCAGGCAAATGTGGGTATTTATCATTGCTACTGACATGTTTTTAATTGATCAAGTTTTAAATATCAGTTTGCATTTTGTTATTATAAAATATAACTGATCACTAGATCACTAGAGGAAAGATAGAATATGAATTTTAATACCAACAATTACTGAAAGCTACCAGTTAGTCCATTGGGATCCAGATCACTGGAATTTTCTACTTCTATTAATTGATCCATCAGAGTATCAGGAAAGATCATACAGTGGGGAACAATGCATTTGGAGAAAATTAAAACAGCCAAGGAAATCACCCATCGAGATACCATGAAAACAAATTACTAACCCAGATGCTTACCTTCAAACAATCGCAAGAGATTTGGACGAAATTTAATACTAGGGATATTCCTTGTGGCAATATTATTGCTGGCCTTCTCTAATTCATTAAATCATTTCGAGCAGTAGTTATGCTTGCCAACTGAGGAAAAAAATTAGATGCAAGGGGAGAAAAACAATATAGGTGGATATCATAGTTCAGTGTTAAGAGACGATTGTTCAACTTTAGCAAATAACTCGAAGCGTCTCCTTATTAGAAGCTTTGCCCACAGAAAGATTTCGGATGTGACTGTGGCTGATGTAATAAGCTTGGAGAACAGTGAAAAATAAAATTGAATAGCAGATTCATTTAAATCTACTTTTCATTACATATGTGGACAGGGAATCTAAGAACAGGGTTCATTCTGCATCATCTACATTTCTACGTTCTACTTTTCCACGTAGAAGGAATTGTAAAATTTGACCCTTGCTGCTTCACAGTTCCTTTTTGAAGGTCAAATTACACATTGTGCAGGGATATGTGCAAATTCTTTGCAGTACTTGGATTTTGGATGACATGTTGGGAGTTGTATACCAAAAGTTATTGAGGCCAGGACAATCAATTGGTTGGGGACCAGGGCAAAACCCCCTCAGATCCAATTTGAAATTTCACTTTAATTCCACCTAGTAACATCTCATTACAAGCATGAGTGCAGAACTTCCTTGACCACATGGATTCACTTTGCTTTGCTCTGCTCACATTCCCTCCCAGCTTCCCCAAGAAGCTTTGGTGAGCGTGACTAGAAAAGGTACTTCTAAAACAGGCATTTGAATATTTTATTTATTTAATTGTGTGTACATGCCACCAAATCACTTCAATGTACACCATTCACTTCAATGTACACCAATATTAAACTCAATAGAACCTCCATAATAACAAGATTCAAGTAAAGCAAAGTATTAAGAATAATAATAAAGAATATATTTGACCAGGAAATTTGCTAAAGAAATCCAGCTTCAGATAGCACACAATCCTTTCTCAAAGACCCTCTTGAAATTAAGTGATGCCATGAATATCTTGTCCCGGTGCCTAGAGGCTGTGAGGGTCTGCCTGGGGAACAACAGGCTTCAGCTGAACCCTGGCAAGACTGAGTGGCTTTGGGTTTTGGGCCTGCTGGATCTAGGACTACACCATCTTTGGTGCTGGATGGGGCTGCACTGCCCCAGAAAGATCCAGTGCATAATATGGGGGTGAGTCCTCCTGGACTCACAACTCCAGGTGAGCAGGTGGCAGGCATGGCTAGGAGGGCCTTTGCACAGCTTTGTGTTGTGTGCTAGTTGCTCCCATTCCAGGACTGGGGGGCTCTGCTCACAGTCACTCCTATGCTAGTAACCTCCTGATTGGACTATTGTAATGTGCTCTACATGAGGCTGCCCTTGAAGAGTATCTGGAAGCTTCAGGTGGTGCAGAATGTAGTGGCGCGGACAGTTATGTGTGCTTCTAGAACAACACGTTACACCTCTGCTCTGCAAGCTGCATTGGTTACCAGTTTACTTCCAGGTCCAATTCAAGGTAGTGGTTTTAACCTTTAAAGCCCTTCATGGCATGAGGCTGAGTTATCTGAGGGACTGCCTCTCCCCGATTATATCTGGCTGTCCCACCAGAACTGGCAGAAAAGGCATACTGCCCATCTGCTAGAGAACTACACTTGGTGGGTCCCAGGAGGTGGGTCTTCTCTGCCTTGGCACCCATCTTATGAAATATTCTTCCCCCTGAAGTGAGGTTAGTTCCATCCCTGTTAATGTCCCAGAGGTCCCTCAAGACCTGGCTATGTCCTCAGGCCTGGCAGTCCCAGGGGACCAGTGAAACCCTCAGAAGGTTCCATTATTGTGGTTAACCTTCACTTTCTCTTGTGCCTTGTAGTTTTTATATGTTTAATTATGATTGTTTTATATGTTTATTGTTTTAATTAATTGTATGCTGCCCAGAGTCACTTTTTGTAAGATGGGCAGCCATAGAAATTTGATAGATAGATAGATAGATAGATAGATAGATAGATAGATAGATAGATAGACA